TTTAAGACCAAATGCTATTGCTGCCTCAGAGAACTTTCCAAATCAAGCCCTTGGAGATTGTTTCAATCCATACAGGGCCTTCCTAAGGCGACAAACGGCATGACGATACTCCCCCTGAGCAACAAACCCAGGTGGTTGCTCCATATAAACTTCTTCAACTAAGTCGCCATGTAAGAAGGCATTTTTTACATCTAATTGGAATAACGGCCAGTTACGATTGGCAGCAATGGAAATAAGGACCCGTATAGAAGAAATAACAGGGGAAAAAGTCTCATCATAATCAACACCATAAGTCTGGGTGTACCCTTTTGCAACAAGACGAGCCTTCAACCGCTCAATAGACCCATCATGAAGGTATTTCACAGTGTAGACCCACTTACAACCAACCGGGTTGGAACCAGGAGGTAAGGGAACAAGATCCCGTGTCCCATTACAATGAAGAGTGTGCATTTCATCAACCATCGCTTGTCGCCAACCAGGATGAGAAAAAGTATCCTGCAAAGTCTTAGGAACAAGTGTAGCAGACAGTTTAGATAAAAAACAAGAGAAAGAGGGTGAAACATGATTATAAGAGACAAAATTAGAAATAGGATGTGCAGTAACACAAGATCGAGTACCTTTGCGTAAGGTAATAGGAAGATCATCAGTAGCAACAGGAGCCTCAATAGAAGTAGACAACTGGGGGGCTGCTAATTGTGGTCGTCAACTATACACTTGAAGTGGCACTTGACATGGCTATGGTGGGTCACAGGCTGAATGTGACACAACAAGGTCTGACGAATGTGACACAACAGGCAATGGAAACAACTCCTCAGTATCTAAAGACAAACCACTTGAAGTGAAATAAGGAGTGTCCACAAAAAAGGTAACGTCCATGCACACAAGCACTACGAGTGTTAGGATCCCAGCCTTTATAACCCTTTTGAGTCCGTGAGTACCCAAGAAAGACACACTTAATGGCACGAGAAGACAATTTATCAGTGCCAGGACGTAATATGTGAGCAAAGCGCACACACCCAAAAACACGAGGAGTAAAAGCAAATAACGGTCGAGTAGGAAAAACAAAATATGAAGATAGGCGATTAGCAATACGAGGAGGAAAAGACACTCTATGGTGCTTACCTAATTGACACGACTCACAGTTTAAAGAAGACACCGACTTAAGAAAAGGTAAGGCAGACTTTAAGTATTTCAAGGAGGGATGACCTAGCTGATAATGCCATTGGTGTACAGAAACCTGTGAATGCAGTGCCACCTCAGTCGTAGATGACTGACAATCCAAGTAATAGAGGCCATTTTTTTGATGGCCGCCACCAATTGTCTTCTTCGTTTTGAGGTCCTGAAAGATACAAAAGGAAGGATAAAAGGTCACAGAACAATTGAGTGCTTGAGTGTCATTTGACTCGCAGATTGTGGAACCAATTGAACAAAAGATAATGAAAGGGAAGTAGTAAGTTTAACACTGCCCTGACCAATAATGGGACAAGTCCTGCCATCGGCTAAAGTAACAAAAGAAGGAGAATTAAACTTGTGAAAATAAGAAAATAGAGATGTATTACCCGTTATATGGGTAGATGCCCCAGAGTCAAGAACCCAAGAGGAAGAGGAAGACTGGAAATCCGAACAACAAGCAACATTACCTGTTTGGGCAAAGTTGGCGACACTGTCAAGAGATGTGGGTTGTATCGAATTGACTAAGGCATTGAACTCGGCTCGGGATATTCTGACACGAATAGTCGCTGACATTTTTTAGTTTTAATTTTTTTTTTAGCAACACCAAAGTCAGAAGGAGAAAAGAGAAAAAAAAAAGAGAATAAATTCAAAATAAAAATAAAAATTGGTTTACCAGATCTGTAAATGGGTCGGATCTACTGAATCGGGTTGAGCTTGAACCGGATCTTTGCAAAACCGGTTTTAGTGAAAACCGGATCGGGATAGCATAACCAGGTTTGGGATAACTTCAAGCCTGCAGCCAAACACCACCCCTCTTCTTCACAATTAGCGCCGATGACGCCAGGAGCAAATCTACAACTCTGCAGGTAACGGCGAGGACTACAAATCTACTGTCGACCACAAATCAGTCATGCATTGCGATCTAGAAAGAAGAATAGATGGTAGGTCGCGATCGTGACTCGGCTGACGATGACACACTCACGGCGGCAAGAACACAACCACCTAACAATCACAACACACAAAAAAAAAAAGAAGGAAAAAAGTGAGTCCTTCGCAACAGCGAACACAGAGATTGTTGCGAAGAATTTGGGCTAAAGCAGCGTACAGAGATCCGGCAGAGAGAACAAGTCACTGGCGATGGCAAGGCAGATGGTCAACAGAACAGATCGCCGGGAAACCTTGTTGAGGAAGGAACGCGTAGTGGCGAGTCAGATCTACTCGCAGGAGCGTTTGACGCATACAGAGAGGCCGTCAGCAGTGGAAGGACGGCCGGTGAAGTCAGCCGGCTTTAACAGTTTTGACCCAAGCGGGTCTGTACAGCCGACGCAAGAAGGTGCTCGGCTTCGGATGATGCAGCTCGCGGCAGAACAGAGAGACCTTAACTGAAGTGAGAAATCAACAGAGAAGAAAAACGGATAACCCGCTCTGATACCATTTGAAAGTTTACATGAGAGAGAGTGAGCAGATAGAGGCGCAACCCACTTCTTATTTCATACAACCCTAAATATAAAGGGGTATATATACAATACAAGAAAGGCCTATTTACATAGTGGCACAAACCCTATATCTAATTACAATCTGCCCCAACATAAATATATATTTACATATAAATGTTCTAACTATTACTAAGGCCATGTTTGGGAAGTGTTGTGTAGTGTTGTGTAATGCTCTAGCCTAGAACAGAACAAGTGTTTTGTAGTGGTGTTCTGAAATGAGAATAAAACATGTTTGGCAAAGTGAAAGTGTAACCAAAATCACTAAAAATAATAAAAAAAAAAGGTTGGGTTGTTTGGTAAATAATGTTTTCATCATTTTCTTTTTTATAACTTTATTAAATAGAAAGTTAAAATTAATTATTGTATAATTTTATGGAGAAAAATCACATAACCCCCCTGTACTAACGTTTTCGTCCAAAATACCCCCACTAAAATTAAACACCCTCCTAAACAATAAACCGTCATCACATTGCCCCATTTCCGTTCAAATCCATTAAGTTTGTATGAAATGACTAATATACCCCTATAATAAAATATAAAATTTAAATACCTTATATAAATATATATATATATATAAATTTAAATACCTTATATAAAGATCTCTTGTTTTAAATACCTTTCTCTCTCTCCAAATACACATATAAAGCCACTATATTGATGACACGCTGACACCTTATCAATCTTCCTCTATTACCAATTTGCTGGATAAGCCCAAGCAAAGTTAAACAAAAATCATATATATATATATACATATACAAATTATATATAGTGAATGTATGGAACTCTGTTACAGATGAACCACTGCGCTGAGAGAGAAAATCAAAGTCTTCAATAGTCAATGATTAAATTAAGGTTTATTTCATGATTATCTCAATTAGCGTATATGGAAAATATCAGTTTTTCTTGCAACCATGGCCGTCATTAAAATTGGTGGAAACAGAGCGACGAGGTGGAGTGATTGGTGCCGGAATCGACTGTAAATCAATCTCCGACCAAATTCCGGCATACATCATCTCCCTTTCTAATCTCAGAATTTTTTACCTTTTTTGGAAACCAATTAACAATCGCATGGAGGCACACCCTTCGCAAAATTGAAGGAATGAACGATACAATATATATATATATATATATATATACACTCACACCAAGATAGCAAAGAAGCGTCGTCACAAATGAAGCACAACATACACTCTGCAATCGCCTACCAAATTGCAAACGACAGATGAGAAACACGCCGATTTGAAGAGAGACGATGAATAGAGAGCTGGCCGGAGTTTCCTAAACGTCGATTTGAAGCGTCGTCACAAATGAAGCACGAATCGCCTCTGCAATCGCCTACCGAATTGGCCATGACAGATGAGAACAAACCCTAGTTTTTGTTCCATCTTTCCTTTTATACTTGTTCTGCCATGGGCCAATGTGTTCTCACCGCTACAGTATCCATTGTATCCCAAAAATTGTTGGAACAAACTAGAACATGTTTTTTTTGTTTCAACTTTGGGTCTTGAAAGCTGAAGTGTACTGGTACTATTGGGAACAATACAATGCGGGCCAAACATATTGTAGGCTGAAAATGGTTACTGTAGCACTGTAGGGAACAACAAAGTACACATACACTACACAAACCAAACAGGGCCTAAAGTATAATCAGGGGCAGTTTTTAATTCGTTTATTTACCATCAGGAGCTAAAGGAAGTAGGCTTCTACTCCTCACATGATAGAAGTTAATATTAAACATCTATTTTATCACTTAACTGGCCCTTCATTCTAAAAGGAATGGAGTAATGGTGGGTTTGTCTTTCATATCCCACCAGGGGCCTTCATTTAGTAAAAACATTGCCACTTAGGAAACAAAAATCAGATTCTTGGATCACCAGAATTTGCTATAATTTTGTAATCTTAAAGTTGCATTATTCTTTGGTTCTGAAGTAAATTTGTTGTGCTCTTCTTCCTTCTCGGACTTTTTTAGCTCACACTTCCTCCTGGTTGTGCCCTTCTGTCATTTTCTTTTATTTCAGCCTTGCAACCAACCATATATCCCCGGAACCCATAAACTCTCCTTGAAGTTGTTTTTGAGTGTGTATACTTGACAAACAGACAAGACTTGGAACATATCTTAAAAGCATTCTCTAGTTTGCGTTTGCGCACCTAATCAAGATTGATTTTGTGGATACTATTTCCTGAAACTAGTGCTATGTATATGATCTGTTGATTGGTTCTTAACTGAAATGTCTGTCTCAGGATTTGTCTTTCAATAACATCAGCTGAAGTATAACTTTTATTTCCACTAAAGTCAGTGCTATGTTTTTATGAACCTCCCCCCAACTGCAGATCTTAGGGATGATAAGCAGTTTTTCGTAGACCACCCTGGTGCAGTGCCGATCACTACGGCTCAGGTAAAAGTTACCTTTTATTTTATTTATTGAGAAGGTTTAATCCCAATCTATTGAATTCATTAACTTGGTTATTTGTTTCACTTGAAGGGAGAGGAGCTGAGAAAACTGATCGGTGCTCCTGCCTACATAGAATGTAGTTCAAAAACGCAGCAGGTACGTCCTTCATGGACTACATCCCCACTTTTATGGGGAAAATTGGTTCATTTTTTTGTTATTGATGGAATTTGTTTCGTGTCCTTGTAATCTCAGAATGTTAAAGCAGTGTTTGATGCTGCCATTAAAGTAGTGCTCCAACCGCCCAAGCAAAAGAAGAAGAAAAAAGGACAAAAGGTCTGCTCTATTTTATGATCGAGGAAAGAATTTGATCAGTTGAAAATAGAAGATAACCTATCAGCCTCTCTCATGCAGCCTGTGACATTCCAAGTCGTCATCTTTTAAGGACGCATCAAGGTTTTGGTATATAGTTCACTGACTTAACTAGGGATTCTGTCGGTGGCATTTAGCGGTTTGTTTCTTACAGTACTGGATTTAATGATCTGTAATTGTGGATTAGCATTCTTTGATAATGTTTGCAACTCTATTCTTTCCTTGTTTTTGCTGTGTGAATTTATCTCATATATTATGAGAGTGTTTCTTCCCATGAACATATTAGCATTTCGTAATACCATATGTTGTGCCTCATAAGACTTGTAGGTATATTGTGTTGACATTCCCCAATTAGTGTAGGTAATATTATGCCTGTGAAAGATTAAGGTTGTTAGTACTTAAACGTTTTGATTGCTTACATAATTCTGTTTGTTATTAGTCTCTTAAAAGAGGTTTTTGTAGAGTGTTGTAGTGTGTTCGAAGTAATAGTGTTGAAACTCAAAAATAGTAGGGTTGAAGTATCTAATCAAGCTTTAAAAATGGTGTTAAATCACAAAATAATGGTGTTGGGCGCACTACAACACACTACAATAGCTGTGGATGCTGATACTCTGTCAAGAGTTCCAAGTGGGCCAAGCAAAACTGGCGATGCGGGATGAACAGGAAGACATTTTCTCTCTCTCGCGCGCACACAATTGACCTACATTCTTGGTTGATCGTCTCTGAAAAATAATGAAAGTTGCAAGCTTCGCGTATCAAAAATTGCAATGTCCAGGCCTACCAATCGCTATAGGCCAGTGGCCTATGAAGTACGGACATGCCCAGAAGGGGTGTTGTGCGTGCCAGAGGCTTGGACACGTGTCGAACACGTTTAATTTTTTATTGTTTTTTTTTCAAGGTCGGACACATCAAAGGATACACCAGACATGCTTGTTCAGTATTTTTTGGGATAATTTTACTGACACCCTCAGTAGTTTAGCCAAATATCAGTTTAAAACATCTTTCGAAAATAACTATCACTCACATTACAAACGTTTGCTCCGTTTTTTATTCACACCCCAAAAGTTAGTTGACAGGTGTGTCAGACCAGTTTTTACATGTAAAAAGACATTCTTACCCTTTGACTTTGGTTTGACCTATTTAATTATTTTTTTATGATTGAAATGACATATTTACCCTTATAATGTTAGACTTTTATACCCCTCACATGTTTTACTTTTCTCTAACCTTGATGGTCTACGGAAGCATATTCCTGTGTTTTGCATATGAAGAAAACCACTCGTGCTTGTTCTTGTGCTTGTCGACCTAAGCTCATTCCGATCAGACCTAAGCTCGTGCTTGTCGCCAGTGAGAGAGCTTGATGTTGGTTGACAATGAAGCAAGAACTGGGTTGCTGCAACTCTGCAACTTCCGGTGAATAAAACAGAGGGCTTTGGCGATGGAGAGTTTCAGATTCTAGTGACAAGTTGAGGAACCAATCCTCTGATGGGTGTTGGGTTAGGATTAGGTGGTGAAGTGCTCGCCGGAGTTGATTTAAATGAAATAGTGTACATAGAATGTTTGGTTTTCCAGTTTCCACCATACTTCTAACAAAAAAACTTCTTTTCTTCTCAATAGTCCCTATGGACTCTCTCTGTCTCTCTCCACAAAGAAACCCAACAACAGAGGTCTTTTGTGACGACAGAAGTTTGATATACCATATCACTCTCAATTCCTCCTCAATCGCCCTTATCATCAACCCCGTACCCAACCTCTCAATCGTCACCCGAGGATACGACCATGGATCACGATCTTGATCCGACCCACAACGAACGGCTGTCACAAACGGCCTGAGACAGCAACGATTCCGGTCACGACGCTCCTCGAACCCAGTTCCACGACCACAGCCCGATCTTGATTCGACCCACAGCGAACGGCGGGCGCGACGGTTCGAGCTCTGCAACGCCGCCTTTGTGGTGGTGGTGACTTGTGAACGTTGTTGTGGAGCATCACGAAATCATGGAGGGCCACCGCCGTTTTGAGTTCGCCACGTTGTGATGGTCATCGACTATCTCTCATGTTCTCTGTTATATATACATGTACATATATATATTTACCCATATATATATATATACCTCTGTGTGTGCAAATATATGTGTGATGTATATGATGGGTGTGTCTGTAATCCAAACTGTTTGTTCATGGATATATACATAGCAGCAAAGCAAACAGACATTAAAAATTCCAAACGAAGCTCTGTTTTGAAGCTCGTCGGTCTTTGGTTTGATGGAGCGTTGGACACTCGTTGGTTCCCCTGTTTTTTTTCCCTCTGCCGAATCAATCTCGGTTGCCGGACCAGTGCACCCACCTTCGCCGGCGATCTGTACAATCAATCAAGTTCTGCATCTCCAAATTTGTCGTCGTAGTTTCTGATTGCCGGAACAGTTCTTGCTAAACTGTAAGTTCAGTCTCCTCGGTTCAGTCCGTGCTCACTAACTCAGTTCGCGTCTCGCCGAGCACGATAGTTCTTGCTCTTGCCGTTCCGTGTTCGCCGTTCAGATCCTTGTCAAAACAACTCTCTATTCCTAATCGTCGTTCAGATCCGCTCATATATATATATATATATAAATATATAATTATATATAATTTGTAATTTTATAAATGTGATTAAAAAATTAGGGACAAACATGTCTTTTCACACGTTTTTAACGGAGGCAGTAACGGAAAAACGAAATTTTTTTGTGAAAAGAGAAAGGGAGAATGAAGGTGTGCGTGTGTACAAAGAACAAGATCTTCTGTGGTGTTGGGCTTTACTGACAGATGATGAAGAGAGAAGTGAACGACTTGGGGAGAGAGAAATGGGATAAGAGAGATTGTTACATTATCATCTTTGTGTTCAAAAAATAAATAAATTAAAAAGTACATGTGTTTGGTTATAAAGATAGTTTATTCTACAGTTGGATATAAACTTATATTTTAATAAAATTTTAACTTATGATTTTTATGTTTTTTAAGAATAGTAGGGATTATTTGGTTAGCCTAATTTAAATAAAAATAAAAATAAAAATTTATATATTAAAAAAATATATATATTATTATTTTATTATCGTATCTTTGCCTTATCGGTGTTTTATTTTTTTAAAATTTATCATATTCGTGTCGTGTCGTACCGATGTCCCGTGTCAGTATTCATGCTTCATAGCCAGTGACAATTAGGCTTCAGATCATAATTTCAGGTCGATTCGAGCCTAATCTTCAATTGGGGCCATAATTTTGAATTGTGTTATTTTTGCTAATAGTGGACTTTTAATGGTGTGTAATTTCATGAGGGTATAAAACTTGTCAAAAGATTGTGTCAAAAGATTTTTGCAAAATCTAAGGTTGTGTTGGGTTGGGAATTAGAGAAAATGTTAATTCAATTTTGTTAGTTGTTTTTTTTCAATTTCACCGATTCTAATTTCAATACTTTAATTTCGTGCAGCAAAATATAACTTTAGGTGTTGTTTGATAACTTAATTTACTGAACGGATTAAGGTTTAAATAATTAAGTGTGTTTGATAATGCAATTTGAATATAATTAAAAATGATAAAAAACTGGCAGCTCAAAATTTTAAAATTTTTTATCTTTTACACTTAAAATTTGAATAAATAATATTATAAAAAATAATTAAAATAAAAAATTATTGAAAAGTCAATGTATGTAGTATAAATATTCACCGAGAGAAGGACACGAGAGAATTGTTGCATAACAAAATATCGACAGGAACAATGAAGAGGATCAGCGGACTCGCAGCCACCATCCGTGCCATTGAAGGCGGCGCCACCGCCGTCAATGCTACCAAACAGCGGCTTTTACCGGCAGCGTTGTGCAGAACCTACTCTGTCATGCCCCGGTTGTTTCCGCTCGATAGGCAACTTCCCTATCACTCGAATCGTTCCATGCTCTTCTCTGTCAGTGCCTCTGCCTCCTCAGTTGCTGAAGATGTCCATGCCAAGGTACAACCACACGCCAACAATTTTCAACCCAAAGACGTCGTTCTTTATCAGTACGAAGCTTGCCCTTTCTGTAACAAAGTTAAAGGTAAATAAATATATATTTTTATTCACTGTTATTATTCACTTTCATTTCTACTTGTTATCGATTTCTTTTTTTTTTTTTTTTGAAAAAAATTCTTTTTAGGGTTTTTTTTGGGGTTTATTTTCTTGCATTTCCAATAATAGTCTTCTTTGTAGCAATTTAAATCATCACTTAGTTAATCTCATTAGGATTGCGATATATATGGCTGTCTTCTATTCATTTCTCGCTCTACATTTGAATGCATCATAAAGAAATGACATAAAAATGAGATTTTGGGTTGTCTTAGTCTTTTTGATCAATTAATTAAGAGGGCCAAATTGCATTAAACACCCCTGAACTATCACACTCTTTCTATATTATTTCTTTAAATGTATTGATGATTGGCATGTTCTATAGACTATTTTATCACTATGGTCATATTTGAAAAACTATCTTATTCAATCGTATAGTTTTGTTCTGAAATTATGATATATAATTAACGTAAATTAGAATGTAGTCTTTCATTATTCAAAATAGTTGTAATGGGATATGATTTACTTGATGCACATGCATATTTTCAGGATATATCACACTTCAATTTGGCTGACGATGCTATGCCAGTGTTGTGTCATTTGAACTTTTTTATTTGTAAATTGATTGGACTGAATGTTAATTTTTCTAGTATACATGTATACTGACGTTGCTATGCCAGTGTTGTCTCATTTGAACTTTTTTATTTGTAAATTGATTGAACTGAATGTTAATTTTTTTAGGATACATGTACACTTGTTGTAACGGCAATCAACTATAGTTTTTTGTTTCTACATGAATGTAATGCCTAGTTTAACTACTCTCCCCCACACCCAGATCTTTTTTATTTATTTACTATTTTTGTTATAAAAGAAAACCTGAACATGGATTTTCCTTTTTGGTGAGAACAAAACAAAACTTCGGTAAGCCCCATGGGGAAGCTGAATTGGCATAAGGCCTTTGGGCATGTTCCATGGGCCTTTGGGCATGTTCCATGGGGAGTCAAGTTTTTGTTTACGGCTTACCTGATACCCGTAGTTTGGGGAAGGGGTGGGAAGCACCCTAACCACCCCTCCAACAAACACCCACCCCCACCCACCACCCAAAAAGAAAAAGAAAAAAAGAGAGGAAAGAAACCGTCTGTGTAAATGAACTTTTCCCCAAGCTAATTGGAGTTGCATGATTCCCTAAAACATTATATCATTTATCTGTTAATATTGTTTTGAGCATAAAGAAAGAAATATAGGGCATGCTTGGTTTGCAACTCTGAAAACAGTTTTCAAGAACAAAGAAAACAGAAAACTGCTTTCAGAGAACTATAAAAGACAGAAAATGTATATTTTTTCTCTGAAAACTGCTTTGAGCGGTTATTTTACTTTAAAACAGACAGAGTATGTGGAATCTTATTTGCTAACTGTTTAGATATTGTTGTTCGTTTGATATTTTCTTTGTTTCAGAAAGGAAATATATAATTCCTTTTATGATGCTCTTCAGATATTTGGAGTGCAGCTTAGATTTTTTACAATGTGAACAAAAGAATGAGACAATTGAGTGCACAAGGGCCCTAAGTTTTCTTGTTCTTTCTGTTAACTATGTTTTATGTGTGTGCCTCTGTGTGTCTATTATGATATCAAAGTGTAAAGCATAATTGTGTCTAGTTGAACTGACAAACTTTTTAACAAAATTTCACTGTATTTTATATTATTTACTAATAGGTAGTGGACTTCCCCAAAGAAGTATTGTGTTCATTATACAACAGTGAAGTTTGGCTTGGGAAAAATATGATTAGATTAACAAGTCTTTAGTTTTATGTGTAGTAATGTTGTTCTCGATTGTCTCCTTAATTGTATTCCTCTTAATTTTCTTTTTGTTCCAGCATTCCTGGATTATCATGATATCGCATACAAAATTGTGGAGGTTAACCCAATCAGCAAAAAGGAGATCAAATGGTCCGATTACAAGAAGGTGCCTGTACTGATGGTTGATGGTGAACAGATGGTTGATTCGTCAGGTTCTTAATTAGGACAAATCAAAGCAACAGTAGGCTGTAAATATACCTGTCAGCCTACTTCTAGTTCTTCTGTTTTAAGATTGAAATTTTAAAATTTCACATGCTTTATCTGTGCAGATATAATTGATAAGTTGTTTCAAAGGATTCATCCTGAGATGTCAGTTGATTCTCTCCTGGATGGTGATGAAGATAGGAAGTGGCGTGGGTATGACTTTGGTTTTCTGTGATTCTTAAATTTTTTACAGTTATAAGCTCCTCTTTTTCTGCATAAATTACTCCACCTGTGTGGTAATGTTTAGTTCAGGTTATCAAAATTTGATTTTATAAGAATGAGAACTTAATTCATTTACTTCTTGCATGCGTTGCTTCCTGCCACTATTTATGTTCTATGTCAATGTTATCAAAATGCTTGTTTAAGCAGATCTTATGCAGTGTTGTTAAAGGCACGCCTAGGCGCGTGCCTAGGCTCCAGGCTTATACAGGCGCAACACTTGGCACCTGTTGTGTGCCCAGGTGTGCCTTTGACAACATTTGCGCCTTTAATATGGAATATGAATATGATTTAATAGTAATTTAATTTTTCAATTGTGCGCTTCGCTTCGCTCTGGCACGCTCCTTACCTTGCGCCTAGGCTCCAAAGGACCTCTAGCGCCTTGGGCCTTTGATAACACTGATCTTATGCATTAGATGTCTTAGTTAAGCTTAAGTGTTATTGAAATGTTGCTTCAGATGTAACATTTGTTAAGGGAACTGTTCACCATGTAGGTGGGTTGACAATCATTTGGTGCATGTCTTATCACCAAACATTTACCGAACTACTTCTGAGGCTCTTGAGTCATTTGACTACATTACAACCCACGGTAAGATTTTAAAGCATTCTCATTACTTATAATTTTAAGGATGAATATGTGGATTTCTTTGTTAATGAAGATGCAGAGGACGTTATATCTTTCTTCTTCTTTTTTTTTTTTTTTTCCTTAAAAAAGTAAAAGGAAAAAAACTCTTTTGGTATCCATCTTTTCAATTATACTTCTATTATGTTTGTAAGTTTGTGCTCTCTCTCTTTGTGTGTCCAATTACACCTTCCTTCCCAACAGGGCCAACACAGGTACAGACACACGAACAGAAAAAGTAGAAATTTGAGACTCACATGCTAGATGTAACTTTGTGATGGTTGCTATTTTTATTTTATTTTATTTTTTGATAAATAGATGGGGTGCTGTTTTTAGCTCTCAAGTTTCAATCAAGGACCTGGAGGAAGGGTAGCTAAATTAGTTGTATGGAGTTTTTTTTATATGTGCTTGATTGATAAAATAATTTGTGAGTATTGAATTTATTTGTCCGAGTAGTTACTTGTGGTCATCATAATGTCTAGTCAAATTTGGTTTTCTTCTTGTCAGATGTTTGACAGTCCAAGCTATAGTATTTTACCTCAACTCAACGAAGTCTGTTCCCAACTATTTGGGATCCAATTTAATGAATCTTGTTTTGCCATTTGGTGTCATCTAAGAATCCATTTTAGTTTTGGTCTTATTCACAATAATAAGTACGCTGCTCTTGCTTGGTGCATGTGGCCAAACCATTTTAACAATTTTTTCTCTCATTTTTATCTCCACTTTGTACTACTTTAACTATCTTTTTTTTAGGTTTTCTTGTCTTGCCGCACTTCTATCTCAACATTGATATTTCTTCTACACTTATTTTTGTAAATATTTTGTTTCTTAGCCACCCAACACTTGTTTTGCAAATTATGGCTGGTCTAATAGTTGTTTTTATGTAATATATTTTTCAATCTAAAATATACATTGACCAGGGACGAAGCTACCCAAGACCCAGTGGGGGTGTCTGCTGCCCCCACTGAAAAATTTTTAATTTACATTTCATACTTATAATTTTGTTAAAAATAAAATAATGCCCCCACAAAGTATTTGCTAAAGCTCCCCATATATAAACTAGCCCCCACTAAGTTTTGGGTTTTCAAACTCACTCCCTCACTCTCATGATTTTACTTTCTCTACGGCTCAGCCCAAAGATAGCCCTAGCCATCGACTCTCTCTCTCTCTCTCATGAAGATTGTAATCCATACACGAAACCCTAAATTTCCTTCTCTTTCTACTTTACGTCACAATAGAGAAATATTGGGAGGGAAGGCCATGTGAATTGTCTGAACAGGATAAAAGATAATATTGTTGTCAACTTCAATAGCTTGTTGGTTCCATTGATGTACATCAGGGTTGTGGAAAATTAGGAAGATTGGGACCAAGTAATATATGTCTGTGAGTGCGTAATAATTTTATCTTCTTCTATCTCCTGTTGTTTGGGATTGTATTGTTCGTAAGATGAGGTATTCCTACAGACCTGATTGGGTGTAGGAGTAGGTGCTTTTATTTTGACGTTATATTAGTTCCCAAGTTGGGAATTAATTAGAACTTATAGTGTTAGATTAAGAGAATGAAAGAATAAAAGAATCATTGATAGAGATAATGTAAACGCCTTAAAGATAGTAATTGTTACCCTAGTTCTTTTTCATTTTTGAAATTTCTCATAAATTTAATTTATTTTTTCGTTTTGAGGGGGGTTTTCAGTTTGATTTAGTTATAAGTAGAATCAGTAGATAAGATGAACATTGGAAACCAAGTGGGTTCTCCAAGAGGGATTAACATTCATCAGTTCTTGGGTTGGTTGGTTTTCTTTTTATTTTTATTATTATTTTTTTATATCCTCTGTGATTTTCATGGGTTTGAGGAATTTGGGGCTAATTCTGGTTCTGTGGTTCATGCTTGGATTCTCTCTCTCTCTCTCTCTCTCTCTCTCTCGTTAATTTCCATAGGTTTGGGTTATTGACTTATTGTTGTAGTGTTCTGGTTCATGTTTATGGGGTTGCTGGAGTTGGCTTTTGAAGGGCATGCCTTGTTAATAAAGATGTCTTTGGATTTACCTTCTCTTTTTTAAAGAATGTATTTTACGAAAGAATATTAAGAAGTAATCGTTTATGTTTTTTTATGGTAGGTGAATTTTCTTTCATCTTATCATTGTTCAAGTCCCCCCCCCCCCACAAACCAAAAAAAAAAAATTTCTGCCATGCGAGAAGCATTCTTCACTTAATATTTTTATCATGCGGTTAACATTTATTTATTTTTTTAATTTCTCCTTCTTTGTTCACAATTAAGCTAGGTAACGATTTTTTATTTTTTACTTTTATTTTTTTTAGGTTTTAGTTCTCTGTTCTCCCTTGATTTTGGCAATATCCGTACTTATATTTTTATTTCTACTAAAGATAAGTTCTATATATTTAGTTTTAGTCCTACTGATCTTTAAACCTCTAGATTAAAGGCATTCTATGTGGACCTCTAACTTATTACTTATTGTTACTCTAGTTTCATCAACTAAAATTATATCTTCAACAGGTAGCATTCACCTCAAAACCTCATTCCTGATATATATATTTTTTCTATTTGTTTCATCCATTTTGAAACAAAAAGATATCGGTTTAATGTTGGTCCTTGATACAAGTCTACAGTATTTAGAAATTCAATTTTGTCTTCGTAGTTTTTCTAAGGGTGATTACAGTCCTATGACACATTCTGCATTGTCCAGTGGCTAGGGATGTTTGTGCCATGTTTTTCGCTATTTTTGGTGTTCATTGGGTATTGCTGGATTCCATCAAGGGCGTGCTTAAGGCTTGGAGAGGTTGTGTAGTGGGTAGGCAAGTCCGAGATGATTGGAGGTTGACTCCCTTTCTTGTGGTGGGTTTTGTGGCGAGAGAAGAATAGAAGATCCTTTGATGGAGGCATGCTTAAAGGCAGAGGTTGTGTAGTGGGTAGGCAAGTCCGAGATGATTGGAGGCTAAGAAGCACGGACACGGATACGACACGACACCGACACGGCAGATCCAAAAAAATTAGGACACGAACACGGCGAATAGTGTATATATATATATATGATGTAGTACTTTAAAAATTACTGAGTGTTACTATTTTTCATCAACCTCACAATGAAAAAAAAAACACAAATCATAACTCATAACTAATAAACTATAAAAGAACAATGTTGTAGAATTATAAAATCAAATAAAAAACAAGACATTAGAATAATAACTAGTATCATTTAATCATCATTGCAACTTTACTCCAAATACAAAAGCATAGACCAAAAGGACTATTAACATTCATGACTGTTTAACATTCAGGACTTTACTGTTAGCACTTAACATTCACAAAAATCTAAAGGCTAGTCCCCAAAAAAGATACAAAAACCAAGTCAGTGTACTATAATCTATTCCCATCCATCATTTGACCTAGGACTTTTACCATTTACAATACCAAAAGGGTAGTACAAAACAAAAAAAAGAACATATCAGCATTCAAAAAAAAAAATTTCTAGAAGCGTCCGTGCCGTGTCCGTGTCCGTGTCTGTGTTCGTGTCCACGAAGTGTCCGTGCCGTGTCCGAAAATAAATAATAAAAAAAAATTCCAGACACGTTTTTTGGCATGTCCGACACGTGTCGGGGCGTGTCCGACGCGTGTCCGTGTCCGACACGTGTCGGACATGGATTCTTCGCCCATTTTGGAGTGTCCGTGATTCCTAGATTGGAGGTTGACCGCTTTTCTTGTGGTGGGGTTTTTGGCGAGAAAAGAATAGAAGATCCTTTGATGGAGAGGAGCATCATATTTGGGTGTTAAAACACCCCATCTCGAGTTCTCTCTCTCTCTCTCTCTCTATATATATATATATATATATATATATTTTTTTTTTTTTTCTGGGTAAATCTTTGGAGAACTTTGTGGATAGTTTGAGAGTTCAAAGGGCTTTCTTTTGGCCTAATGCGCGGTTGTTCTTTAGGCCCGCTCCCCTTTTGAACGCTTCTTTAATGAATTTTTTGTTACCAAGAAAAAAAGTTAGCTTTCCAAAACCTTCAGCAAAGTTCAAATTTTTGAGAATTCAATTTTGTCTAAAGAGATGTTCTAAAAGATTTTGTTTGGCTTTTTTCTTGCTCAAGAAATCTCAACCTTTCAGTTCATTTCATTTTTCAGCTCTTCTAAAACTAACAAAACCTTTTGAACTCCTTTAAGGGTCTCTTTCACTTCCTATAATCTTCTGTTCCTCTATATGTTTCTTATGAGCTTTTTTCACTATCACAATCCCCTCAAAGAATTCTTGGAAATCCTTTTACAGATTATTTTCTTTCAGTTATCTTCTGTTTCACATTTATTTTTTATTTTTTTAATTCTTCAGATTCATCATCACTAAATTGAGAGGAATGAGAAGAAATAACCACTACTGTTAGGAGAATGAAAAATGCTTGGTAATAGCAATGAAGGCAATTTGAGAACTTTAATCATCAGAATCAGAATATTCAAAATTATGATAAGGATCAGAATTAGGATAAATTAAGATTTGTTGTTAGTGTCTTTTGAATGGTATAACAAACACACACCCATATTTGCCCCCATCGGGGCTCGGAACACTCAAATCTCCCCTTTGGGGAGGGAGAGCTTATACCATCTAGGCTAGAGTTATTGGTAGCTACTGGGTTATTCTTTAATTTCTTCTGTTACAATTATGTCACGACCTACCTTGTTGTGTAGAAATTACCCGCTTTGCACACTCTTCGTGCTCATGGTTTCAAAATGTATCTACACAATTCGGAGGCATCCACACATATAAGTGCAAACAACCTCCCCCCTCCCCGGTGATGTGGGACATCACAATCACCCTCTCTTGAGACCCAGCGTGCTCGCTAGCTTGATCCTCATGGGCTTGTGCACGCTCCTTCATTTTTGGCTGGGGATTGGCTTTGATACCACGTGTCACGCCCTGCCCCGCTGTGATATTATTCACTTTAGACAATCTCCGTGCTCATATATATTTTTCCGTGCTCATATTTATATTTTTGGATATGTAGGATTATATTAGGAAGCGCTCAAACGGGGAACACATCCCAAAAAGAGTACTCTCAAGGAAAAAAAAGCTACTAAATTCTTTAAGAGTCCAAAAAATCAACTATTTCCCCCATGGATTTATAATTTCTCCCTAAAACCCAACAAAAAAGAGAACAAAGAATAGAGAACTTAAAAGCTCCAATAGGAGTCTCCTTGTCCTCAGAGGATCTCCTATTTCGTTATGTCTACAAGCACCATCAAATACACAAAGGCTTGACCCTCCAAAAGTCACACAGACTTCCAAGGAAAAGAATGCCCTGGTTTATCCGTGAGACTTCTGTAGAAAGACCGCACAACAAAACTCCCCAAAGTAGAAGGAATCCATGCCCACCCCCACAATCTCTTAATGGTAAAGCAAAGCCAAGAAACCAAATTTGTCCTCGAGCTCCCAATCCTGAAGTGCCTCGAAAAAAAAACATCCCAGGTTGTCCTCCCGCTATCAACTCGATAACAGTCGGCCATGGCATCTCTATCTGCAGCAATCCTAAAAAGTCTGTGGGATAAATGTGAACCAAAGGGTGATCCCCACACCAAATGTCCTTTTAGAATCGGGTTCTCCTCCCACCCTCTACTCTGAATCTAATCTAATGTGTTTAGAAAATTGCTCCCACCCCTTCCGGATGGATTTCCAAACACCAACCCCACCTGGATACTCACCTCCAACGAGTACCCTTCTCTCTTATTCTCGCCATATCTACAGGCAATCACCCTCCTCCACAGTCTGTCTCTCCCCACACCATTCCTCCATAACCACTTTCCCAAGAGGTCCTTTATTGAAAGGCTCAAGTCTCCCTCTACCCAAACCTTTCGTCTGAATTGGACTATAAACTTGGTCCCAGCTAACCAGATGATTTTCAAAATGCGTTTGCACAGTTCAGAGGCATCCGCACATATAAGTGCAAACAATCTCTTCCACCCGGCGATGGGGGATGTTACAACTTAGGATAATCATTAACATGCGGTCTTTTTCTTGACATTTCCAACATTCAATCTTTGGCTTCCCGCAATTTGCCCTTTTATCTTTTGGAGATGATTTTGCTGCCATGAAAGAGTTTCCTAATATTAAAGTTACACTCTCTTTTACAGCTTAAGCTTTTATAGTAGATGGTTGTTAATATGGTATCAGAGCCAAAGGTCTCAATTTAAAACCTCACCGTCATTTTGATAATTAAAAATTGAAACACGTGTTGGACCTTAAGAAGGCCACACATGAGGGGGTGTGTTAAAGGATTTAAATATTAAAGTTACACTCTAACTCGTTAAGCTTTTATAGTAGATGGTTGTTAACACATGTTTTACCTAATGAAACTTCTAATCTTTATGGTTGACACATCAATTTCATCACATTCAAAGTCACCAGGAGACTCATTACATTTAAGCTTAGTGGATTTTAATGCTTTTGATTTATTCTTTTTAGTAAAATGCAAAAACTTTTTATTTGGAGATAATTTAAGTTCATATGTTTAGTGAGCCTACAAGTGATATTCACTCAGTCAATATCCTTGCTTTCTTCCATTGCTGACCTAACATGCAAACTTATTTTCTTTAGCTTCATTTTTAGGGATTCTGTGACTTGGTTGAAGTTCGTATTAGCAATATCATTCTACTTGTTATAAAACTCATCATAAATTTTATGTTCTTCCATTCTAATTTGTTATAAACCTAGTTGAAGTTGGTTTAGTAATATCATTCTACTTGTTATAAAACTCGTCATAAATTTCATTTTCTTCCTTTCTAATTGTTTTAAACCTAGTTGTGAGCATTTTTTTTTTTTTTTCATGTGTGACTTTAGAAGTTACATGCTTCTTTAGATTCAAAACTCAGATTCTAGAAAAATCTCTGAGTGTTGTTGCTGTAAAAATAGCATTAGTGCTTTTAGGATTTTCATTACAATTCTCATAATAATCTTTAGACTTGGTTTTCAAATGCCCTATGTCAATCCTTCTGTTTTTATAAGGTGAGTCCAACATGATTCTATAAATAATTAAAATTTTATCTATTGACTCAAAAACAGTTCTCATCATAGCCTTCCAATAGCCACGGTGGTTATCAAAAAGTGGAGGTTGAGGAATCAATCTTCTCTCTCTCTCTCTCTCTCGTGCGTCTGCATATTCAATTTTTTTTTACTCATCAAATAAATAAATAAATAGCTGATTTAAAACTAAAATTCTGAACTAACCTTTCAGAAAAGATCAAACTAAGTAGTTGAGGAACGAGCTGTAGTATCAAGTGAGGGTTGTGCAAAAGCAGAATGCGCAGTGGATTCAAAATAGACCTAGAGGGAGGGTGTGAGTTGGTCTCTACTTTTGCTTATGGCTGATTAGAATATATTCAATTACCGAGTTCTAATTAATCCAGTTAGGTAAGCAGTCAAATAATAATCAAGCATGAGGCCATGGGCCACTATCCCGAACCCACCCATCTATTGTAATTGAGAATTAGAACAATATTCCTAGCTACATATACTTTAGCCACTAGCCCATTGATTTACTTTTAACTTATTGCACTTCCTGTGTTCCATCCTAGAACACTTACCTTATGCTCACCCAGCCTGTGCTCACCGTCAATTCAATTGTTCTACTGTGATCTGCCTTCTCCAATGTGGTTGTTAGTAAACCAGTCTAGATTTCCACGATTAGAATATCCACACAATAAAGCAATGTGTTTATGGGACTTCTGGTGCTATACATTCTTAAAGATATTCTATCAGGCTTTAAAAACAACCTTTGAATCCATTTACATGTTTTCTCTTAAACTCCTAAATTATATTTTTGCGTATGAACTCAAATGTCAGACAAAAGTGTAAAAGAGCTCAATCAATTTTATTTTTTTCATATATCTTTGACCTGCCTGGCACAAACTCAAGTACTTATTAAATTTAAACACTAGTACATATTAAATTCTAACACTTTCAATGATTTGTTATCATCAAAAAGTTTCAATTACTCTTAGGTATGAAACCTTTAGGTCAACAGTCATGACATTCTTGAATAGCTTGCATGAATGGATGTTTTAAACTTGATTAGGTATTGGAAGATGGTTTTTTAAGATGCTACTCAGTTTAGTGGAGTGGATATAAAGATACGTACCAAAGGGAATTTAATTTAGCTTATCAACTATTTTTTAATACCGGCATGATCTGATAATCCTTTGTTGTGTATCTGGAGTTTGGTTCTCCTGATATCTTTTAGTCCACTTACATCATTTGCATTCTTGTTGTTAAACTAAAATGCTTGCATTGATAACTGGCATCTGATATGCGTTAATTCCTTGCCATACTTTGCTTGGGGTGTAGGCAATTTCAGCTTCACTGAAAGAATAATAGCGAAGTATGGTGGAGCTGCAGCTATGTATTTTGTGTCGAAGAAACTGAAGAAGAAACACAATATCGTTGATGAACGTGCAGCCTTGTATGAAGCAGCCGAAACATGGGTTGGTGCTCTTAAAGGCTGCGAATTTCTTGGTTTGTTCTACTACTATTGATTATTAAATTTTGAGGAAGTCAACAGAGAAGATCATTAATTTCTCTGATTTGGAATCAGGACCATTGACTTGTCTAAATATGTTCGTGTTCACAGGTGGGTTCAAACCTAATCTAGCCGATCTTGCTGTCTTTGGCGTTTTAAGGCCCATTCGTCACCTCAAGTCTGGTAGAGATATGTTGGAGCACACACGCATTGGTGACTGGTACACTCGAATGGAAAGCAGAGTAGGAGTGTCTTCTAAAATTAAGGCGTAAACCCAAATTATTTAATTTTTTTATCAGTTGGATCGATGCCCATGTCAGATATTCTTAAAGAGATTACGACTCCTATAAGCTAGAAGAAATTACAGGAGCTTATTTTTAGGTATGTGAAAGAGTATAACCATGGAGACTGTTTATGTGAAGTTGTAATTTGGTTTCAGAATTGGTGTTTTATCCAAATGACAATTTTTGTAAGGACCTTTTTATATTGCATTGACGAGGTATGTTGGACTTAATTTTGTGCTTCCATGCGATGAAGCTACTTTAGGAAAATCTCAATTATAAGATAATATTATATATCATCCCAAGGCCTTTTTACTGATCTCGTTGTTGGTGCAAGAATAAGTGAGAATTGTTCAAAATTGAATAGATTGGGAGACACTTGCATCTTTTGATTTGTTTCATATGCATGTATATACATATTATATGTAATATAAACAACAAAAAGTAAGACGGGAGGGGGCAGTGGTGGTTTGGTTTTGGAGATTTTTTTTCAGAGTTTTTACTAGTTGGGTTTTTACCCATTTAACCTGTTAAAAATGGGTTTACTCTAATTTTTATTTTTTTTAATATTAATTAATTTTTTGTTCACTTGTCATTGTTTCAATGGGCGGCATAAATTTGTCCAGGACCCAAATATTGTGCATTTGATTTTGATTTTTGGCGTGGTGCCCCCTCAAGATATGATATGAGTATCTAAGTAATATTTATTCATTTTTCAATATCTCAAATTATAAATCTTAATTAAGATTTCAATATCTCGTAATTAGAATAAAATATAATGCAAATTGGTATGTTTTATAAACAAATAATTATAATCCGTTAATAAGTCATCATATCATACAAATGGATAACATTTCATCATATCATACAAATTGGTAGGTTTCTTGAAATCTTTGTGCTAAGAAGCTTCTGAATGGAAAAAATTAATCTTCTCACTCATCTCTACAATTATTGTCCGTGAATGTCTGTCATGTCCATATCGTACTCATAACCCATATCAGACACCTCCGAACACACACACTAATATAAAAACTCACCAATTATACCAACCAAAATCCCCTCTCCCCATTACTCACTTTAAAAACCCAAAGCAATAAAATCAAGCAAGAAGTGAACATAATACAACAATATGTCTGAACAAACTGTTAGAACCTCACAACTACGTATTTAATAGGCAGCCAAATTTACGATTAAGGATTGTCATCTTACCTGGAAACGAGCAAAATAGTTAACAATGGGCACTTTGGTTACTTAAAATGGTCCTTTGGGTAGTTGTGTCATTTTGTAAGTCAATACAAAGTTAAAAGGGTAGTAATGCCATTTTACATGAAAAAAATATTCTGACACCATTAAAAATTCATGAGTCTGTCATTGAAAAACGGAACAAACGTTTATAATGTGAGTGATAATTATTTTTAAAAGGTGTTTTCTTCTGAGTTTTGTCCAACCCTCAGTGTCAATAAAATTAACCCAAGAATGAAAAGTAGATGACGAATGACCTGCCAACATTTTTAAACCACAGTGGTAATGGCATAATGAAAGGTTGGGGCTTAAGGCTCTGTTTTGTTTAGAGGGAGGTGTTAGGATATGTGTGCTCTAGCATAGCAAATTCTAATTTTGGATTGTAAAAGTCATGATTTCTTATCTGGATATTATTATTAAAGCATTATACAATTGGTGAATGGAATGTATTATTTTTCGATTCTTTATGGAATTGAGGGTGTCCGCTTGATTACAAAATATATTTATATATGTATGTAATGGCAATTAATACTATGATATAAATTAGTAATCATAAATGGTTTAAAGTCGGTAATTATGGATGGACATTTAATTAGTTAAGACTTAAACCGAGTTCACGATAGATTGAGATATATTGCGAGAGCTGTTGTATGTAATTGCTCTCTATCACAGTCATGGCTTTTGACTCTCAAGCATGAGAGAAGTATAGACTCTTTTATTAATTAATAATTACTTTGATTTGTTCGGCGGATACCTCGGGATCCTTAGATCGACACTTTGGGTAGTTATGTAATTAATAATTAGAGGTCTATATTCTTAATATTTGCATCAGTGCTATTTGTATTTATTTTGTTTTGATTATGGTTGATCACAAATTAAATTCGAAGGCCTTCGTATGTTTTAGACAAATGTTTTCTATATATATTTATTTAATAAATTATTATTATTTTTTGTCAAATAAATATTTTATTGTGATCGAGCCGAAAATAATCAAAGGTAACAAAATAATTATATTAATTATGTTGTCGGATTGATGTCTTTAATTATCCGATAAATAATTAAGCATAGAGGGGTCAAAGTGCAATATTGACTTAGAGGTTATTTACTATTTAATTGGAGTGCAATTAATTTCTTTTAGTGGAGTAGAAATTAATTTATGAATTAATTGAATTGGGTCCATGGTTTAATGGACCGGACCAATTATTAATTTATAGGAGCCAAGAAAATAATAAGCCCAAAAGGATTCTCACCAATAGCCCAAGTTGATATTGGAGTCATGTTAGAATTGAGAAAGTTGAATTAGAGATGGAGAATGATTTATCGTTTCCTTATTCTTATTTTATTTTGCCTATATATACATGAGTTCATGTATATTTTAGGTGTGACTTTTAGAACAAGAAAAAGGAATACACTTTCTCTCTCTAGATTTTAGGGTTTTGTTTTCTCTTCTAAAGGAGGCTACCACCAGCCTAGATTCCAAGGTCATTCATCAAGGCATACTGCTGATTCCTAAAGGGAAGATAATAATCAAAAAGAAGGAGAAAGGATCTTGCTAAAGGGATCTACAATAAGTGAGAACATTCACTTTAGAGGAAAGTTCAAAAGGTTTACTCAGACCTTTGATGTAAGTATTCAATCTATTTATTGAATTATGCATCATCTGTTATTTATCTTTGCATAAAACTTGTCTCTATGTAATGAATCAAGATCTATGATTGCAAATCCCTCAAAAAGTTTTAAAAACTTGCACGTTTCCCAACAGTGGTATTAGAGCACATGGTTTGATTCAAAAGGTTTACTCAGACCTTTGATGTAAGTATTCAATCTGTTTATTGAATTATGCATCATCTGTTATTTATCTTTGCATAAAACTTGTCTCTATGTAATGAATCAAGATCTATGATTGCAAATCCCTCAAAAAGTTTTAAAAACTTGCACGTTTCCCAACAGTGGTATTAGAGCACATGGTTTGATTCATTACTAGAGAACATGTGTTTATAAAAATCATATTAATGGATCCAAATTATATATACAGATATAAAATTATTGATATATGTTGATGTATGATTTATTATGTTGATATATATTAATACATGATGATGTATGTATAATTGTGAATGGATGATGATGTGTGTTTGGGCCATGGATGAAACTTATAGGTATATAGAATGTAATTTTATTTTTGGATGAATGTAATTAAGGCTTTGTTTTAGCCGTTTGAAAATTCAATGATGTAATTTAATTTTTTTTCATTGTATTTCAAATTGTAAGTATTTATTAAAGCCATGTAATATTCATCAAAGGATGCTATGAAGCTTCAAGAGGGTCCGAAAGGGTTAAATTATGCTTCAGTAATTTTCTGGAATTTTTCGGAATTTTTCTGGAATTTTTTTGAGGCTTAATTTAATTTTCTAGAATTTTTCGGATTTTTTGGATTTTTTTCGGAGTTTTTCCAGTGAGAAGGGGCGTTGGAGGTGGCCTGGATTAGGTGTGGCACAAACAAAGTGAGCCTGGCGCGTGTTCCTCACGCGCCAGGAAGTGGCAAATAAAGGCACATGCTGGCGCGTGCATTACACTCGCTAGCCAAGGAGCTTAGCCCTCCACGCGCATGAAGGCGCGTCCCACGCGCCCCAGGAGCGTGGGAGCGCGTGAGGGCGCGTCCCACGCGCCCCAAGCGCGTGGGAGCGCGTGCCGAGTCCCTGCCCTAGGCGAGTGCCAGCGCGTGTGGGGTCCTCCGGGCTCGTTTTAAGGGCGTTTTGCTTCTCCTGACGCGTACAAGCTTCCTATGGGTGTTTACAGACAGTTGAAGGACGCCCGTACAGCAAGAATAGTTTTTAAATGTTAAAAGCTGAATCCATTGGCCATTTATATTGCTTCTGTCTATTATTTGATGCATGGAATAATTTAATGCTTATTATAATTGTTCATGCATTGGATCCATGATTTTTTAATTAAATGGCTTGATTTATATTAATTAAATTATGAAGATAAATTAAATTAGATTGCTAATTAATTTGAAGGCATTTATTGGGAAACAGAATTTTTTTTTTTTTTTTTTTGTAAATTATTTTTTGCCTCAAATTAAATATTAGTGAATCATTTAAAATCCATATATTTTCTAAATTTAACTGGATTAAAATCAAGGCGTTTTGCATGCATTAAATCATGAATTGAAAACCCTAGTTTTTTATTATTAAAAATTGAGTGGGAGCGGGGATTTTTATACATTACCCCATGGCCTTCGTAATTATAACAATTGTGATTAGATCTTTAAAAATAAGGCTCCACACATGATTTAAAGAGTCTAGATTACAAGAATGGTGGTCTCACGAAAATATTTATAACCATTATAGTTAGATCTTTAAAAATAAGGCCCTACGCATGATTTAAAGAGTCTAAACTATTAATGGCAATATATTTAATATTTGATTTTTCGTTGGAGGGTTAATTATGTTATACACTCAATCTAAAATCAATAGTATTAGCTCCCCAACGGAGTGGTCTATACTAGGTGATTTTAGAAAGGCTAAATGTAATCGGAAATTATTTCATATATATAGATAAGGCATTGTCTAAAGAGATATGGAAATAATGAGTTGTTCTCGTCAATAAGTAATAATGAATTCCGCCAACCGGATAAGTTATTGGCATATTGATTGTCCGATTTTTCATGCAATGTGGTTAAGGGACCCAGAATTAATTAATTATTTTATACTTGCATGATTATTATTATTCACTTTATTTATTGTATGAATGCTTTTATTTTCAGATTTATCATGACTAGTCCATTCAGTCCACTTGCAAACATACTAAAAGAAAATCGATTAACTGGACCTAATTATATCGATTGGAAAAGGTAACTAGATATTGTACTCACATATGAGGGGTTGAATTATGTGCTTACTACTCCTAGACCTTCTCCACCTTTGCCTGAGGATCCTCCTGAGGAGCATGAAGTTTTTAAGAAATGGAATAAAGCAGATGAGATGAC